TATATTTGTATCCTCATTAAAACTATTTATGAATATCGCAATGTAATAAATTTGACCAGTATTTAGTACCCTTTATTATGATCCTCAACAAGATAAATTTTACTTCGGAAGAAATTTTTTTATGCAAAAACAATCATTTAAATAAATTTAAAAGAAGCAACCGTTTTTTTTTCTTGTCCGGTACAATATCTTTACAAAATGCATACATTTCCTGCTAGCTGTTTACTTAATTCTTTTTTTCTACTCCATCACTTTGAAAAAATTCTTTTTACAAAGTAAAACACTATAAAAGAAGCCCTAAAGGAAGAGCATAACTATCTGTTTCATTCATTTTGGTCGTCTAGCCTCGATTTTTTATATAATCAAGGTACAGTAAAAAAATGTTCGTTTCTTTCTTGTATGAAATAAAAGGCACCAAGTTTTGCCAAACATTTAGTTTGTTCATAGGAGTGTTCATCATTCAATTTGATATTGAATAAGAGTAGCGTCCTACAATTGATTCAAATATTTATGCAGTTACTCATTTTTACTTTAACATACGGTTTGACTTAAGATTTTTCTTGAAAAATCAAGCAATTAATATATTCTTATATAATGATCCTCGATTTCTTGCAAAGTAACGTGCTTTTACAAAGTCTAATTAAACGAGCAGTGTTCTGCAATAAAAAATACGTCTGCAACATCAATTCTGTATCTGAACGAACTCGCATGCAGTTCGTAACAATCTTGAAATATAGTCTTTTGATATATTCATCCCACAAAATATTCAATAGTGCAATAGTATCAATTCAAATTTACTTGAGTGCAAGTTTCACAAATGAATCCAAACATGGGATTATTAGAATAATTTTCTGATATTTAGTGATAATTATAATAAGCAAATTATTGGAAAAACATGTTGAACAGTAATTTCATTGAAACTTTGTACTTCTTTCAAAGGATATGATAGTATATGTATATATTTGTTCATGTCATTAAATATAAAAAATGAATGTATAATATGATGTAAAATATGAGAAATTTAGACATATCTAACTTTTATGAAAACAAAATTTAATAATGGCTATAAAGTATTAATGAATGTATCGGTATGCAACAAATTATACACTCGCTCTCTTTTTCATTTTCTCTCTTTCTTTTTCTCATGCTCGCTCATTTTCTCAATAAATTTAAAATGCTTAGAAATGAACATATCAAATTAGTCTTTCGACGAACATATCAGATAAGTCTTTTGGTATCATATCATAAATAATTATAATATATCAGCATTAATTTAGCTAGTTTCCACATTTAAGAAGTGGTTATGACATACATAATTAAATTAAATACCATGTATAAAAAAAATATGTATGCTTCAACTTTTGTAACAGATTACATATTTCGACATATTTCTATAAAATAATACATATATAACAAAAAAATATAACATTAAATTCATAATATATACTTGAAATTTTGTTATTTTTTACTACATAAATGAATTACTTGAGTGTCTACAAATACAAATCATCTTCATTCTTTTATATATAAATACATAAATTATGTAATAAATGCGAAGTATGTTTGAAGACACTCAAAGATTTTACTGCTTACAATTTCAAGTTCTTTTTTTCCCTTTTATTAAATTTCAACAACTGTGCAATTGTCTGTCATACCATTTATATATATATACATTTAATGTAAGAACCATAGTGTATATTCTATCAGTAAATCAAAACGATTATATTATACCATTACATTCACCACTTTTCTCATCGCTGTTTTGTACTATTCGTTTAAAAGTACTGAAAGAATATATATAGATTATAACACACAGACGGCTCACAACAGAACATTTTTACGCAGCTCGATGTATAATTAATAAATCGCATTAAAAAATATGAATGTTGGAAATTTTTAAAATTCGATTATACCATTATAGTAATCTAATTTGCATCTGCTCCAGTAGGAATAATTACTTTTCTTTCTTTTTCTTTTGACAACACCGTCGGCAGGGCGGATCTTGTAAAATGTTATTCGATTATTTGTGCAAAATAGAATCCGTCGATATGAATTATAGGAA